TAATTATTGTCACTCATTACATCACCGTCTGGAATACTCACTTCTGATTGGTCAGTCGTGGCATTCCAAGGTGTGTTATTTTGAGATAACAACCGCTAAATAACACGGGAAGTTCGAATCAAACTGAAAGTCAGTGAATATGTTCATAACTTGTCTGTCATGCCATGATTTGTTTGTGGCGTCCTGTGAATGAATAATATGTAGATTAGTATATGCTTTATTCGGCTGGTTTCGTTTCTGTCAGCATTACACTCGACTATTTGGCACCATCTTGCGACTGAATAATGCGCAGGTTAGCGTATCCTACATTAGCTGTTTTCGTTTTTGTCAGTTTTGCGATTAATAAAATAAAATTAGTAGGCGATTACGGCTCAAAACCATGTTATGTGGCAGGTAGTCATTTAATAAGCGGGATAAAGTACATCCAGGACTGTTTTCACAGAATAAAACCCTTCAGTCTCACACAAGTCAACATTTGAAGTGGATCACCACCTTTCAAAGCTGTCCTAAAACTATTGAACAACATTCATTCTTGTCCAAAGACAAATTTAAAAAAAGATTTTAGATTTATTTTGAATTGGGAGTACTAACAGTGATCCGCTACACTGAGATGTTATTCTGAGATAACAACCTCCTGGATGAACTTATATCACAATATTTTCTTCTATTTACTGTGATAATGACACATTTTTCAGTTCCTGTCGCCCTTCTCCGAGCCAGAAGAGAGAGATGGGAGGCGAAGGCACTTAAGATCAGGACCAGGTCTCGGCACAGAGTGGTTCAGTGCTGGGCTTCAGACAGAAGGCCTCTGTGTGGACGAACAAAGGGAGGGAAACGCAGCCTAGTGCCTCCACAAATTGCTGTTTATTCAGGAACACACTGGCTCTACGCAAACAGCTCACGTCAGTTGTTTAGGCCAAAAACAGCAACACACAACTACAAGCGTCTGCAGTGCCCTTGGTCTTTCTGCTACATGTGCTGGCATTTCAAGGGCTTTTAAACAAGAATAAAACATTGAAAACAAAAATAGCTACAGCTTCAAGGTTGAAGAAATTAAAATGTATTTGTTTAGAGGCAATAAATCTGAAAAATTGTGTATAATAATGCACTAGCTTATAAAAGTTGATTTTAAAAAAATTATTTTATAGTTTCCTCCAATTTCTGTTTAACAAAAACATTTTTTTTTACATTTCTAAACACAATAGTTGCATTTTTTATTAAAACTTTTTTATTCTAGCTGAAATAACAAAAACTCAGCAAAAGAAAAAAATATTACAGGAAATACTGTGAAAAATTCCTTGCTCTGTTAAATAAAATTATATATGAATCTAAAATATACATTCGCTGGGCACTTTATTAGGTACACCTGTCCAACTGCCCGTTAACATACATTTCTAATCAGCCAATCACATGGCAGCAACTCAATGCATTTAGGCATGTAGGTATGGTCAAGACGATCTGCTGCAGTTCAAACAGAGCATCAGAATGGGGAAGAAAGGTGATTTAAATGACTTTGAATGTGGCATGTTTGTTGGTGCCAGATGGGCTGGTCTGAGTATTTCAGAAACTGCTGATCTACTGGGATTTTCACACACAACCATCTCCAGGGTTTACAGAGAATGGTCTGAAAAAAAGAAAATATCCAGTGAGTGGCAGTTCTGTGGGCGCAAATGTCTTGCTGATGCCAGAGGTCAGAGGAGAATGGCCAGACTGGTTTAAGTTGATAAAAAGGCAACAGTAACTTAAATAAGCACTCGTTACAACAGAGGTCTGCAGAAGAGCATCTCTGAACGCACAACACATTCAACCTTGAGGCGGATGGGCTACAGCAGCAGAAGACCACACCGGGTGCCACTTCTGTTAGCTAAGAACAGGAAACTGAGACTACAATTCACACAGATTCACCAAAATTGGACAATAGAAGATTGGAAATACATTGCCTGGTCTGATAAGTTTTAATTTCTGTTGCGACATTTGGATGGTCGGGTCAGAATTTGGCATCAACAACATAAAAGCATGGATTCATCCTTCCTTGTATTAACGATTCAGGGTGCTGGTAGTGGTGGTGTAATAGTGTGGGGGATATTTTCTTGGCACACTTTGAGCTTATTAGTACCAATTGAGCATCATGTCAACGCCACCTGAGTATTGTTGCTGACCATGTTCATCCCTTTGTGACCACAGTGTACACATCTTCTTATGGTTACCGCCAGCAGGATAACGCACCATGTCATGAAGCGCAAATCATCTCAGACTGTTTTCTTGAACATGACAATGAGTTCAGTGTTCTCAAATGGCCTCCACAGTCACCAGATCTCAATCCAATAGAGCACTTTGGGATGTGGTGGAACGGGAGATTCGCATGATGGATGTGCAGCCGACAAATCTGCAGCAACTGTGTGATGCTATCATGTCATATTTACCAACATCTCGGAGTAATATTACCAGTACCTTGTTGAATCTATGCCACGAATGATTAAGGCAGCTCTGATGGCAAAAGCAGGCCCAACCCAATACTAGTAAGGTGTACCTAATAAAATGGCCGGTGAGTGCTCAAAAAAATACATATAAAATAGTTATTAAATAAAACATTGATATGGAGTTTAAAAATGTGAATCATTTGAAATATTTTACATGGTTTCTTTCTAATCATAAATTAATTTAAAAAGTGATACTAGAATTAAATTTAATTATCATTTTAATAATAAATTATTAAAGTTACTAAAAATGCATATTTATAATGAAAAACCAAACCATTTCAAAGAATTTCTTAATTTTTAAAAACATAAATGTTACACACAAAGAGTTTTGTAAAAATGAAATAAACACACACACCACTATAATGATGATACTACTCCTAATACAATCTGAATTAATATTATTATTATTGCTTGCTCACATGGATCGAAGACTTCTACATAACTACACATGTAAGCTTTTAGTCCTGTTGATTAGCAGATTACAGGACTTCCCTCAGCGCTCGCACAAACAGTCTTTATGCAGAGCACCAGATGTGCGGTGAAGGCTAGGAAGTGGCAGCATGTTGTCATTTCAACAGCAACACAACGGTGGAGGCTGAACACTGAAACCAGTCACAGCGCAGGGGGGGAGGGACGGGTGTGGAGAAACTCAACAGACTCGATCTGCTAATGGTCCCGCAGATCCACACACTTCACTGCCTGATTAACTGTACCCTATAGCGCTGCATGGACTAGGGAAGGCCACTATGGAGAAACTCTTATGTCACTGCCACTACTGCATAATACCATGGTGGCATACAGTACAGCACAGTAGCTGCTACACTTAATACACAAATAGGCTTCATTGAATGTGTACACAATGACATCAGCCGTTTACTATATAACTGCAGGTTAACTATGCTTATAAATAATAACTTTAACTGTTAGTTAGTAATTAGTAACCAATAACCTTAACTGTTCTGATTTCAATTGTAATACAATAAATGTACACCTTTTGTAAAGCAACTTTAAGCAATAATTATTGCGAAATTCTCTATGCAACTAAACAAACTTGAATTGCTTTTACTTTATTATTTAATACTTGATTAAATACTTTACTTTCTATACGACATTGCTGCTGAATGCTCAATTCTGGGGTGTGTTTCTCAAAACCATTGTTAGCCAACTAAGGTCGCAAGTTCCGTCGTTACAAACATAGTTTGTGTATTTGCCATTTCCCAAATCCGTGGCCCCAATGAACATTTGCAAATTGCGTTGCAAACTTGAGCACTTACAACTACACCTCTGGAGCTGTAGTTTGAAACATAGTTCCTGGCTGTGTCCTATTCCCATTTATCCCCCCTATGCCCTATTTATTTAGAACATTTTAACATTCAAAGTTGGAATTAATAAAAATAAAAAAAAGCATTAAGGTCATCTCTCTTATTTGTAATTTGCTTTCAAACAATTTTTTTTCAGTTCAGTTTTAGTGACCTTCATTTTTACCATTGTGCTTCCTTTGCAGTGCACTTTGAAAACATTGATGTCATTTTGAACACAGCCTCATGGCGAAAACTACAGGTGACCTATTATTTAAAAGTGGAGTTTATGTTACGTCTCTAAAGCTTGTGAAAACAAAAAGCATACTTTGTATACTTTCTAATAAATATGAAATATTAAATTTCACTTTATAATAAATAACCTCATTATTTATTTATATAATATTAGAATATGTGTTAGCTTTAGTAAGTGATTTTATGTTTTAGAATAGAATATGTAATGTTCAACTTCTCAATAATATTAGTGAAGCAAACACAGGCCCTATATGTGCAATTTACATGTATTTCAGTTAATACAGAAAGCGAGTGCATGTTTTTACCAAATCTAATATTGGATTTTATTTTAAATGTGTGCGCGTGTAAAACAATATAAATTGCACAAAGAAATTTGCTAAAGAAGTTGTTACTACGCCCAGTTTAGAGCGTCATTATGGGCTTTTTACGTTATAACTAACGTGGTTCAAGCGATGGATCTGCGACAGATCATCTCCGTATGCGGAAAAATTGGATACAATTTGCGCTGCGGATACTTTGAAATATTTGAACACCTGTGACTAGACCATATGCAACCGGATGTTAAGTATTTTACGCGTTTAAGGCGCACAACTGACACGCTCTGTGCTGGACTTTAGACCTGCTTTTCTATTGCAGTTCCAGTTATTTATTATAGTTCCCCTTAGTCTTTAAAACACTTTGAATTCATGAAAATCTAAGCAGATATTCTGACTTTGATTGGCCGTTGTCATTTTTCTCTCTCGTCTCCAGCTAATATCAGAACAGCAGCACCTGGGGAGGCGGGGCTAAAGATAGCAAGACCCCTCTGATTGGTCAAATTTAGATAACCAATGCATACAATAGATGCAATTTATCAGACGTCTGCGATACATATATTGCATATGCTATTATTGCGATAGTGATAACTTTGTGCCCTAGAATATGCCACATTGTAACTGTATAGTAAGTGTAAGTGTGCTGTACTGACCTCTCGCTCTCATCGGCTGCCTTCTCGGCCTCCTCCAGCTTCTGCAGGGCAGTGGCCAAACGCTCCTGTGCCCTGTCCAGCTCCTCCTCAACCAGCTGGATACGTCTGTTCAGGGATGCCACATCACCTTCAGCCTTGATGAGCACAGAGAAACAGGTGTAAACACCCTTAATCAGATCAAACACACACACACACACACACACACACACACACACACACACACACACACACACACACACACACACACACACACACACACACACACACACACACACACACACACACAACTCACATAGACAGTGACACTCCAACCACACAAACACTGACGGCTCTATTCAGCATGAGGAACTTGTATTTGTAACCATCCAGTGCAGGTTTTGATAATTGTGTAACTTTGGTCATTAACAGCAGCGCTTACTGGCTTACATTAATGGGCACCTATTTCACATTATATATAACAGAAGTGTCTGATGTCTCTAGAGTGTGTATGTGAAGTTTCAGCTCAAAATACCACACTAATAATGTTTTTAACTCTTTGATACTGCCCCTTTGAGACTTTGATTTTGCCATTTTGGTGACTGTAGCTTTAAAATCAAATTCTTTTTTTCAAAAAAAGGCGGGGCTAGAAATGCCTGTGTGTCAGTATAGTGGCAGATTCAAAACCAAGACTAACATCCTAAGCCAGTGGTCACCAAACTTGTTCCTGGAGGGCCGGTGTCCTGCAGATTTTAGCTCTAAGCCTAATCAAACCCACCTGAACAAGCTAATCAAGGTCTTACTAGGTATACTTGAAACATCCAAGCAGGTGCGTTGAGGCAAGTTGGAGCTAAACCCTGCAGGGACACCGGCCCTCCAGGAACGAGATTGGTGACCCCTGTCCTAAGCTAATGAAGGAGAGATGGTCACTTATGGGCAGGGCTTTCCCCTTCTGATGACATGTACAAAGGGAGAACATCAATCAAAGTGTCTCCGCAGTTTTTATCGAGTCCGATTATAAAAACAAAATCACATTTTTACCATTAAAAACTGGTTAAATATACACGCAACTGTTTAAATTACTTTTGCATAATTAGTCCTAGGGATGCACCAATACCATTTTTTGGAACCGATCTCATCTCGATACCAAAACTCTGAGTATCGACCGATACAGATTTATTACCGATATTGTGGGTTATAATACGGTTACTAGTTTATACCACGGTTTAGTAAAAATAATAGACCTATAGGCCTACTGTATATGACAGATGGCACAATCTAACTAAACATGATGCTTGCTATAAACTATGGGCTGCATTATTTGAGCATTCATTATGACATTGATCTAATCTGCTGAAGTCCAGCTTATGTTTCCTTTTTAATATTAGGATTTTCTTTAAGATCTGTAATAGACTAAACTATTAGAAGCACTTAAAGGAATCCCCCTCGGAAGAATAAACTCATTCAGGCGGATGAGGGAACAGAAACTCATTGTAAGAATAATCTTACGGAGCGGCGCTTGTCACGTCTGCGCAGCTGATGCGCTTGATGAAGCGCTTGCATCACTGAGACACAGAGCGCAGCCCTCGGACACTTCTAGAACAGCAGCCCAAAGGGGAGAAATCAGAGCGTTGAGGATCTGTCCAGTGTATTATTGAGCCTTTATTTTAATTTAAAGTTCCAGGTAGACCTACTCTGTGTGTGAAGAGCAGGTAATAACCCTCTCTACACCAGTGTTGTGATCTGATCTAACAAAAACAGCGCAACATAATTTAAAAACAGCAATGATCTCCATGTTGCAGGTCAAAATAAAGCCATTTATGGCTGAACTGAATGCATTTTTCCACCAATTACTTATATTAACAGGAACAAATAGTCTTGGAGGGAGTGTTTTGTGTTGTGAACGCGACACGCAGTTTGAATTGTGAATAAATGGAGAATGATTGACAGGTGCAGCGGCGGGAAGCGCTGAACTAAACATGAATTTAACCACGTGAATATTTATCTGTGCTTCACATTAAACAATAAAATGGCTTCAGAACATTTAGGATATAGTAGGCCTACATGACAACTTTCCAGTGCCTTATAATAGGCTACCTTCATCATGACTTCTGTTGGCTTATAAATTACACAGAAAAAAGCACACGCGCAAGATCAAATTTAGATCGGTACCAGCTGGCTGACACCCAACTCAGCAAATATATACGTTATCGAACCGATATCCGATCAAAGTATCGGGATCAGTGCATCCCTAATTAGTCCCCTTTAAAACCTATTGAGATGGAGCAGTTCCTTCTGCTGTGGTTGCACACACCATACAGCCCATAACGCTAATGGATGAGACAGGACTAGGCCATGGGATCATTACCGAGCCTCTGGGACAACATTAACTAACCATATGAGGGAGTCTCAGAGGACTGACATGGATTACACTGTTAAAGGCCAAACACACATGGCTGGTCATGCTACGGTAGCTGGCTGAAATGAAACATGGATCATTTCAGATGAAGCTTGTGAAATAAAGGAGCAAAACTGTGCTATCCTGTTGGGCCGTGGTTCAAATGTGGATGGCAAGTGCTAAAGCTAAATGCAAATAATAAAATGCAAATGGCTAGATGATTCGTGCATGGGAAGGAGGGTAATTGAAATGTGCCATTTTCATTTTACGCTTCGCATATATTTTGCAATACAACAAGTGCTGGATATGCAAAGTTACAGCGTCTTAATGCACACTGTAGGTTACAATACGTTTATGTTAATCCTAAACTAATGTAAAGAGTCTTAAAGATTCCTTGAACTTCATTGACAATATATAACTATAACATCAATATCCAGGCTGAATCTATGTAGTGCATTATGTATATTATATTCAGCACTACATTGTTTATCATGTAGTACTTTGTTTTTGCAGTGCAATATTTAGCATTAACTTTCGTTTATATTTCTTCCTCTTGTTAATACATCTTTGCATTTATTTGTGTCTGTTCTGCCAAACCTGCTCCCTTTTTACTTTACTGCTCTTTACTCACATTAACATCTGACGTTTTTTTTTAAATAGTCATGTGCATTTTTATACAGTACTGTATACTGTAACTTTAACTTAGGAAAAAATAGCACTGATGTAAGCTACAGTGTAATACATTGATAAGATTTTAAGAAGGTCTACTTTTTAATTTGAGTGGCATTAGAAACAGATACTTTTAGTCGCACTACATTTTTTGGCGAGCAATAGTACTTATAATCCAGTGTGATTTGTCAGTACTTTTTCCACAACTGCTAATAACAACTGAAGAAATCTGAAACTAAATCAAAATAATCTGCTACGCTAAATTTTCTAGCATTTTAGATAAATATGAGCACAATGTAAAAGTGTCTCATGCTAAACAAACCTTTTCCACCGTCAAAACAAAACAATGCATTTATGTTTTTATTGCATGCTTGACAAATAACCTCTGCTTAAGTCCCAGCCCAGATATAGGCGAAGGCCTTCCACTTAAGGGAAATTCACGGCGAGGGCAAAGTGCATGTTATACTGATATGAAAAACCAGAAAGCACCACAGATAACCTTGACAGCCTGATCTGAACTTATAAATTTCCTTCAATGGGTTTGTTAAGACAGGACAGACTAATTACTAAACTCATAAAGCACAGTTATCGCTTTCTATTTCAGAATGACTAAGGGTGCTTTCACAGCTGTAATACGCTTCCTTTGGGGCAGACCAAGGTTAAAATTGATACATTGCAGTATTTTTCAGCCGTTTTGGTTTCGCTTCACACCAGAGCGCCTACTCTGAACCAGTTGAAAAAGCAGTGACAGCATCCACATCAGTCGAGGGCTAGACGAAGTTCCTGAACTACATTTTGACTGGTCTGAATTAATGCAAGGAAACTCACATGCACAACACACGGAAGTAAACAAAATTTTTGTCCGTGACCTGCCATAATTGCAGTGGAGAACTTGTTCTCATCCCAGGAAGCATGTCGGAACTGACTACGGCAGCTGGTTTAGTCTAAAAAAGCAAAGTACTTTTTGCATTTGGGTCAGTTCAGGTTCTCGCCACAAACAAACCACTCTAGGGTTCATTTGAAGCGTACCGAGACCACCTCTTCCAGCAGTTCTCAGTACGCTTGGTTTGGTCTGCTTTCGGTGCGCACTTGAGTATGATTCCGCTTTTGCTCCTGCCTAAACAAACTACACCAAAAAAAGCACACAATCTCTGGTAAATGTGGCAGTTGTAAAAGTACCAAGTCCTATCTACCAGGCTTGGGCGGTAATACGTTAATATGGTATACCGCTGGATCTGAAAATAGCAACAGTGTCAGTTTCAATACCGTTAGACAAGTATTAAATATTAAATATTATTTATTTAAAGCCTACAAATGCGTATGCGTGATTGTCATCACGGGACAGTGTGGAAGAGAGAAGAGAGAGAGAGAGAGAGAGAGAGAGAGAGAGAGAGAGAGAGAGAGAGAGAGAGAGAGAGGGTGAGGTGCAAGTCGCCCACCAAGTGACCTGCAGTTTGGCAGTATTTCCGGTTTCGACCGAACGAGAAAGGAGACGTGGTTAATACGAACTAGAGGTTTGCATTGGTGCTGCTGTACCGCGGAGCCGACCCGATTTCTTGAATAAAGCGCGGGAGCAGTGGCTAACTCTGGTGTAATTTGAAAGGGAGCAGGTGCTGTCTGACAATAACGCAAGCAAGCACGCGTGCGCATCCGCGTGGATGCTGTTTGTTTGTCTGTGTGTGTGTGTGTGTGTGTGTGTGTGAGAGAGAGAGAGAGAGCGTCCCGCGCAGTTCTCTAATACGAACAAGACAAACAGGTGACCGCGAACCTGAGGTCGCATACACGATATTCAGTTTCTGAATGGTTTAGGCACAAGCCAACAGTTTAGTGACGCTGTCTGAGCCTAACGTCATAATTTTGTTTTTATTATGCACGGTTATACCGGATACCGAGGTAAAATAGGGAGGTTTGATGGTATCAAAATTTGGATACCGCCCAAGCCTACTAACTACAAGGTCTTTTTTCATGATAAAATGAGTTTGTCCAAACCATCTATGACGGCAATGAGCAAAATGTATATTTTAGTTTCTATTTCCAAGACGTCGCGGCAAAACAACAGCATAAACTACAAAGACAATGATCACCTCAGGT